ATACATAAGTAATTTCCTCACATTCCAAGAATCACAAGAAAAACTAGTAAGCAAAGGTCTGCTGGAGCCAAACATGGCCCCCGTTGTTTCACTTCCTGTATGTCGAGAAGAGAGGAAAGGGGAAGAAATCTTGCATCTTATCTTTTGATTGCAGCTTTTTTGATGTCAGCCTGACCTGCTTTGGGTCAAAGGTCATAACACTGTTTGGTGCATCTTCACTTGACCCTAAAGTGTTTCAACAGACGTTTCTGGCGACTGTGACCCAGTCCAAAGGTTCTGATGCTGCATCAGTGTCATGTGTCTCTACATGTTAATGTCTAAGCAAAAATAATTGAAGCTCATTATGAAAACTACAAAAATCATATTAAATGTTCTGCCAAGCTTGAAATCAGCTGGTTAGCCTAGTTAGTCTGCAACAACCAAACTGTCCTGGATAAAAGATCAGCAGAGCAGCTTTGGATTAATGGGAGGCATGAGAGGATAGCAAAGCTCCAGTTGTGGACCTCCCATGGGTGGATGGGAACACATTCAACTCCCAACAATAAATCCAGAGTGTTAAAATACTCCAGTTTCACTGGTGTCATCTGATCAGATACAAGTTGTTCAGCCAGATACTAACTTAACTTTAGTCCAGATGTTCTGCATCTGTTACGTGGTTAGAGATCTAAAATATAAGTTTATGCTGGATAAAAGCAGAGCTGCATTTTGCAACTTTATGTGTGTAACCACTTTGACCTTTCAGGAATTTAGATAGACTAATATATATATAACTCAATATGTCTGCAGCCAATCTAAAAGGTCTTGATACATTTTAGTTTAATATGTTGTTTCCAGCAGTTCACAAATTTATGGATGTGTGTTGATCATGTTTTTCCTCTGAAAACACATGATAAAATATTTACCAAAAATGTGAGGGTAAACTACAGCTTGTGAGATACTGTACTATTGAAAAGACAAGATAGACATTATAATCAAAGCTATAAAGTGGCTGAAAATAACACTAGAAGACTTAAAGGATATTTTTTGGATGCACTTTTTAGTCCTACATCATATAGGGATGTCCTGTATCCTGCTTATTTCTAAGGATAAGAAAAGCAGGACAGAAGCCTTTTATTCCACAGAAAACATCCAGACTGGTTTAAAATATCACAAAAACCTTGTAAGAGAGAACTGATTATGTTCTTCTAAACAGAGCTTGACAACCGTTCCAAAAGGTCCAGTAAGACTCACCCAAAAACAACCATGAGCATCACTAAAAAACAAATAATTCATTGGGTGAAACATTGAAAGCATCATGCTTTAAGTATACTTGACTTCAATTTAATCTAATCCTTTCTAAGCTGAATAACACATAAACATTTTTTAATAGCTGCCAGTTGTGCCTCAACACCTTCAGATCTCAGGAAAGATGAAGATAGATTTTATCTTTAAGCTTCACTGTGACCAAAGATTGCATCAAAACCAACAACAGAATGGCTTGACAAAAGCGGAGATTTAGGTTTTGGAATGGCTAAAAAAAGCAACAGAAATCTGCAGTGTCACTTTAAGGGAGCTTTTGACAAAATATTTCCTCACAAATCTGATAAAGCTGGAGGATTTTTCAAAGAAAAGTGGACCAATATTCCCAATTCATGGTTTAGGATACTGCCAGATTCCTAGAAAAGAAAAGTTAAATGGAGTGAAATGGGTCTAGTAGCCATTAGTAGTTTAAGGGCATACTAATCTTATTAAACAGCATCAATGCACCATTTAATTCTTTATGATTTACCCTCTAGTTGTTAGGATAATTATCATAGATTTACTTTTGTTTTTTTTTCAAATGTGCAGGATAAACATCAAATTATACATAGACTAAAGCTGGGTATACACTGTGCAAAATTTTCAATTGTTGTATGCAGCTACAACTTTAACTGTAAGATGAAACTGTAGGGTTTAAAAGTTCACAGCTCACAATGTGCGTTCCTAAACTGCATGACTAAAAACCAAACGTCGGACTCAGCGTCGAGAGATGGCGCTGGTCGGACTCGTCAATCTGGAAGAACAAAGAGGACTCCCTTGTTTGCACATGTGCAGTGCTCGAGGTTCGGGTAAATCAGCTCATAGCTCTGCTTCAACGGCAGGATTTGTCCACGAAAATCGTGTGAGGGCTGACTGAATAGAAAAATGTATGATTTTCTCCAGACCTTACGATTCCTGATTGGGAGGTGGTCGTGAGAGGCTAATCACCCCTCGTTACCCAGTGTATACCACATGACGCACAAAATCGAGGCTCAAAGTCGGCCCGATCGAAAAAATTCTTGCATGAGAACAGGCCTGAAAAGGGCAAAAAAAAATCGTACAGTTTATGTGCGGCTTAAGCTTTCTAAAGATTTTTTTTTTAACATCTCATATGTAATTTGATATCTTCCAAGTTTTAGATGTTATCTGTAACAATGCGTAATGCGGCTAATGGCCATGCAAAAAAAAAAAAATGTATTAACTCATTGCAGATAAATGGTAGGAGGTTTCATCATAACTAAATATCACATGTTGTGTCACAGGGCAGTTTTTTCCATCACTCTATTTATGCTTCAGAGGGAATTGGATGTTTTTTTTTTATTATTTCATTCCTTTATTTGCTTAGTTTTTCTTCCCAGAGCAGAAAAATGTTATTTTTCAGAGTGAGTCTGAATAAGGAAGCTGGTTCTGTTTCAAAACATCAGAATTCTACGCTAAAAAAATAACTATTTTGCTATGATCAGTCTCCGGTCTGGTCTTTTTTCTTTAATTTGCAGAACAACCTTTCTCATATTTGTCAATATGAGAGTGGAGGTTGGTTGAGGGCCCAAATGCAGAGATAATGGAGACTGGGTTTAATAAAAAAAAAAAGGCACGAAAAACAAAATCCAAGAACCAAAAACCAGGAGACATCAGGGGAAAACGCACACAGGGAGCCAAGTAACAAAAAGGAACCGGCACAGGTAGAGTATATATGGGAGGCAGAACAAAGACTAGGGTAACCAGCTGATATGGAGCAGGTGTTAATGGAGGTGACTAGAAGGGAGCTAGAGAAGGAGACTGGCACAAGGGGGCAACAGAGAGTAACTTAAATATATCACAGAAAAAAGGAAAAAAACAAACCAAAGATCAACAAAATAGAATTACTAAGATTACTGAAAAGTAAAAACTCAAAGTCCAAGAGGGGAGAACCATAACGATATTTAGACTCTTAATTCATGAAATCTTTATTTTCTCTTTCAGAACTCACAAAAATAAGCATTTATTCTCTTATAATTTTTTTTGCTATTATAAACAGTAAAGGTTTAGACAAACATAATTTTACAAGCCATTCAAATCTCTATATTTATTAAATGAATGATTCTGATTAATTCCCATACATGGGCATAGAACAGACATTTTTGAGGGAGTGGGTAATGCACTGTTGTGTTTGTCAATGAGAAGGCGGGGCTCATCCAGGGCACCAGTCATTGCCAGTAGTTGTTTGTATAAGGCCTAAATCAACCATGAAGCATCCAGTCATGAAAAAATTTATTTAAATGTTGTATTTTCAGAATTATAAATGGATTTCATAAATTGTACTTTGATTTAAAGTCAATAAACACATCAGGATATTTGTTGTCAGTTAAAAATGATGACACTGAAATAAGAAAATGTCTGTAGACATGATCAAATACACATTCTCTAAAGTTTGTTTAGCTTACGCAGTAAATTCGTGATATTTAATATAATAAAGTTCTGGTTAAAATCCAATATTTAAGTTAAAAGACGATCAAAAGCTTTCCAGAGTTATTAGGACACTTTTAGTTTAGCAGTGTATCAGAGGTGCTGAATAACATTCAAACTTCAGTGTTTACAGATATATATTCTTCTACAACCTTTTCTGTTCAAAACGCAAATAAGACTCCAATTTCTATTAAAATATAACAATATCAATAATAAAAACCACTAATCAACAAACAGTACTGACTAGAATTCAAGTTTGAATAGCATAAATAGTAGGGGTGGGTATTGCCAAAGAAGTCACGATTCGATTCGAATTACGATTCACAGGCCACGATGCGATTCTATCACGATGCATCACGATACTTGAATTATTGCGATGCATTGCAATATTTTCTCCTCCATGTTTTGTTTTTGAATGACTCTGCACAGTATCCCGCGGCCGGAAATGCTTGTAACACAAGGCAGCGTGCGTCAACACATTTGCAGCGACGTCTACTGGACTGGAAGTTGTATTACACTTGTTTTTGGCTGATGTTCGCCAACCATTCATGCAATTTTATTTATTCATTTTTCTAAATTAATAATCGATACTTGGCGTCAAGAATCGATTCAGTAGATCACGAAAATTAGAATCACGATGCATCATCATGACGATTATTTTGCACACCCCTAATAAATAGTTTATATTTATGCCAAAACAGGATTAAAACCTGTCAAGAGTCACTAAAACCACTGACATAAGCCATGAGAGAGATGACAGTTATACATGACATACAAATAAAAAAGTATGTAGGTAAATGTTTTTTTAAAGTGTAAAGGGAGACAAAAACATTAAAAACGATTTAATAGTCTAACAAGATATGATTAACTGCACAATGCTCCAAGCTTCTTATTGCTTTGCCAGAACTTCCTACACATTCAGTCCCACACAGAAAGTTTAGCTACTGGAGGCGCATATTGGGCCCCACCCTCTTCCCTTCTCCTCCTTCTCTATGGATCAGTCCAACGGAGGTGAAGGAGGCTGAACTGAGCAGATCTCTGAAAGTTTCAGACCACTAAAAAGAGCCATGTTTCTAACATAATGACTTTTTAGAAATAAAGATATCATATACTTCAGTACATGACTATGATTTTGGTATAAGGGGTCCTTAGAAATGATGAAACAATGTTTTGCCTATTAAATGTATAATTAAACTGAGGGTTTGATATAAAAAGTCAAATGTAGACTAGGTTCTATGTGTAGCACATTTTTTATTTAAAAGTTTGCATGCACTCACCTCAGCCTGTGTGACATGTAAAGTGGAACAGAGCGCAGCCAGCAGCAGCAGCAGCTGCGGCTGCAGCGCGCAGGATTGGAACAGCATCGCTGGATGTGCGGCGCGCGCGAACAGCTTCCCCTTCAACCCGCTCCTCTGTCCTCGGTTAAACTCACAGCTTATCTGCGGAGCACAGACGGTACGTTCGGCTGCATCTTTGTCCGAGACGATGTGAACTTCTGATCAATGCAACTTGCTCTTGTTCCCGTTGCACCACACCCCCCACCTTCCTCCAAAAACGACCACCCTCTCTCCCAGCCAGACCGAGTCTAAAACTGCTTGTTTCAAACACTTTGACTTTTCTCTGTACGGAGAGGAACTACTCGGGACACTTCTGGGCTTTATGTGGGATATTTGGGGGTCCCTTTTTTTTCTCCTTACACTGGGGATGATTCCGTGTCTTTTCTAGGTCTGGTACTAACCCCTCTCTCCAATCTGTGACATCTCTATTCCAATAGGACGCGCGTTACTAAGGCAGCCGTAAGTTATAAAAAGTATTTTATGCACTTCTGTATGAAGGTGATTTCAAACTATTGTTGGTTTATATAAAAATATTAATTGCTTAATCACATTATTTTCTTCTATGATGAACTCCGATTGCGTCTGCAATCAACAGGTTGAGTGAACATGCTTTAAGTCTGCATCCAAAAGTGGGGACTTGAGTTTGATCAGCAGTGGGACCATGCAAAGGCAGCACAGAGGGGGAACAAACCTGAGGTAAAACATCAGTAACTTAAGAATTTAGCTCATTTTCTGCTTTTTATTCATTAGGATTTACAAGAGTGTGTTTTGTTTTACAGGCTGCTGCTTCTTTGCCTTTACATCGCCATCATCGCCTCTGGAGCGCAAGCTGTAAGTTTTATAGATTTTTTTTATTACTGCAAAAAAATACACACTGCTGACAATAGTGATACAAAATCAATCCCATTCCTTTTGGGTTGGGATTGTGCTGCTTGGAGCTGTTCATGTTTTTCAGCTGCCAGTGGGAGTGTCTGCTATGGGGAGTTCCTTCAGTAGGAGGGCTCTTCCGTTTCTTAGGATGATTGGTAAATAAAAAAAATAAATAAATAAACTCTACAAAAAAGATGTTAGAAAATTGAGTCATGGTTTGAAGTTTTAGTTATGAGCTTTTTAACAAAGTAAAAAAAAAAAACAAGATGAGCTCTTGATGTCTGATGGGAGACACCTGACCCTTTGACCTGGCACCAAGGGGGTGGGAGTGGGATCATGACCTCTGTCTCCTGCATGATACCTTCCTTAGCTCTGTATGCATTCTTAAAGGTAAAATTATAAATAAAGCTTTTTATTCTGGTTCCAATTATCTTTTTCTTATCTGTTCTTCATTCTCATTTTTAACACTACAAACAAATCACTTTAAAGTTTTGGATTGACCTGCTAAATCTTTGGTATTAAATGTGAGAGACTTTACCCTGCATGGATATAATTATGGGGGTTCCCTGCACTTTGTCAAATGTCCATTTTTGTCCCTTGCGTGCTTTACTGTCCAAAAACATTGTTACACTACAGTACAAAGATATTCGTCGAGCACTCGGACCAAGCCGAAAACCGCAGCTCAAGCTGAAGCCCGCTTACCAGAGTTTTGATGAAATGTAATTAATCTTTATTCACTTTACAGCTTGTAAACTTTTAACTTAAAAAGTCTGTCCTAATTCCTGTCACCCTAATTCTCCATATTAGAAACATTTGAGTTTTACATAAAAACAAGAGATTTCCCAATCCAATAGTGATTTCCGAAATCGGTCCATTCAAGCAAAAAAAACAAATATTAAACTTCGTGATAGAAAAATAAACTAAGTCCCACCTCCCACCAAAGTCCCTAAAATCTTTGTTATGTGCAAGCTAATAGAAATACTATAAATGTAACCTGTTGGTTGAATAAAAAAAAAAGAAGGGGGACACAATCACAAAGAGGAAATTCATTGGATATTTGAAACTTTTAAACAAAACTTAAAAAAATGGACCGAGCAAAATTATTTAGTCCCCTTAAGTTAATACTTTGTAGCACCACCTATTGTTGCAATTTCAGCTGTACGTCACTTGGGGTATTTCTATCAGTTTTGCCATCGAGAGACTAACATTTTTTTCCCCATTCTTCCTTGCAAAACAGCTGGATCTCAGTGAGGCTGGATGAAGAGTATTTATGAACAGCTGTTTTCAGTTCTTAGCACAGATCTTGGGTTGGATTCATGTCTGGACTTTGACTTGGCCACTCTAACACCTGGATATATTAATTTGTGAACCATTCTACTGTAGCTATTATCCTGGATTATTGTCTTGTTGAAGATAAAACTCCATCCTAGTCTCAAGTCTTTTGCAGACTCCAACTGGTTTTCTTTCAGAATGGTCCTGTATTTGGCTCCATCCATCTTCCTATCAATTTTAACCATCTTCCCTGTCAATGATGAAGAAAAGCAGGCCCAAACCATGGTGTGGCCTCCACTATGTTTAACATAGGCGATGGTGCGTTCAGGGTGATGAGCTTTGTTGTTTTCATGTCAAACATGAAGTTTTGCATTGTGGCCAAAAAGTTAGGTTTTGGTTTATTCTGACCAGAGTGCCCTCAGTCACGTATTTGGTGGGTCTACCAGGTGGCTTGTGGCAAACTTTAAACAAGACTTTTTATGGATATCTCTTTGGCTTTCTTCCATAAAGGCCAGCTTTGTGCAGTCTACCACTACTTGTTGTGATCTCTGATCACAGATCTCTGCAGTTCATCCAGAGTGATCATGGACCTCTTGGTTGCATCTCTGATCAGTCTTCTCCTTGTTTGTGCTGAAAGTTTTGAGGGACAGCCCGGTCTTTGTAGATTTGCAGTGGTCTAATACTCTCTCCATTTCAATATTATCGCTTGTACTGTGCTCCTTGGGCCTGCCTGGTGTGCTACTTGCTCTTCATGATCTTCTCTGCGCTCTCACCTCTGAGACGATCGCAGAGCGAGTGCATTTATACAAGGCTTGATTACTCACAGGTGGATTCTTTTTATCATCATCAGTCATTTAGGTCAGCAATGGATCATTCAGAAATCCTCACTTAACTTCTGGAGAGACTTTGTTGCACTGAAAGCAAAGGGCAATTCATTTTGCACGCCTCACTCTTCAGCCTTTTTATTTGTTAAGAAAGCTTAAAATATCCAATAAATTTGCAGTTTATTTCTTTATATTTGATGACTGAAATATGGAAAAAAAATCTAAAGGTTCCCTGGGGCCGAAAAAAGAGATAGATGATGTTATTGTATGCAGTAATTCCTGTTGTGGTTAAGCACATCTTTGACATATTTTATGTCAGTACAATGAATGAAGAAATCCCAACATAATTACTGTACAATTTGAGCTACATTCAGTATGTAGGTCATGAATTGTTGCTGATAATTTCCCCCTTTGCTATTGTATACATTTTTGTATTGTCCATTTTTATTCCTTAAACATTATGTTTAAAAACACAAGCTCTAGGAAAATGTTCCTTCTCAGGAGAATCCCTCTTAGCTAAACCCTCAAAGACCGGAGTTTAAGACCCCCTGATCTACACTATTGAAATTAGGTAGTGTGTATGGTGTTAACACCAATCAACAGTGTCATAGTTTTATAATTGGTCTTACCACATAATAGTTGGGTGGCCATAGCTGTGATCAAGAAACAACCAACAGAAACAGTAAGTAGTGTAAAATGGTGTAAGAGTGAAAATTGCCATAAATTTCACAATATTTTGTATGGAGGCACAATGTTTGCAGAAACTAGTGAATTATGTAGTTTTAAAAGTTCTCGAACATGGAGTATGATATGCATAATTTCAAATAAGCTGCTGCCTTTAGCTTTCATCCATCCATCTATCTCCTCTCACTTATCAGTCATGGTATCTCCAGCAGTCTATGGCTGAAAGGCGGGGTAAATGGTGAACAGGTCATCAGTCTGCCTTTTATCTTATTATTCTAAAATCATATAAATCAATTTAATAATTATTTAACATGACTGTGGCTCCAAGGTAGGAATAATCATCTTTACTCATGGGCAAGCCATTGAACTCAGAAGTTGCCTATCAGTTTTCATATCTCTGTATGAATGTGTCAAAGTGTTGAAGTGTGACTTAGTAAATGTAGCTCAGTGCTTTGAGTTGTAAGTATGACCAGAAAAGTGTTATATAAATTAGGTCTGTCCACAATTTGAAGGTTTTTAAAATGTATGCAAGACGATTCCGCCTCCCGATCTTAACATATGAAAAGACCAAATTATTTTTTGTTTAAAGGAAATTCGTCAACCATTTGCTGTCAGTGCGTGAATATGTCTTTTTAAAAAAGCATGGGCTTTTAATATGTGCCCTAAAGGTGAGTGCTACAACACTTGGTTTTCTCTGAGTATGAGACTCTCATTGAATACAGTAGCAAGAAGGGAAATAGTTGTTAAGCTGAACGGCTGCATAAAAGAACCTGTACCGCAGAGTGCAACCAAGTTTTAAAATCAAATCAATGCTGGAAGTACACACCAAAGGTTTTGGACATTTCTTATTATTATTATTGAATACAGAGACTTAGAAATAGGCAAGAAAACTTTAAATTAAGTTGAGTGGCTTTAACAGCTAAACCTTACCATACATTGATGAATGAGAGACCTAAGATCAGTGGATTTAATGTGACTTTGTTAACTTCCTGTTAAGCAGACTCCTGTTGATTTTGTTGGGAATTTCGTTGGTATGTCCTTCCAGGACTACAACTTTATAATCAATCAATGAATCAAACAAGTATAAAATTGTGTTCTGCTCAAAATTGGACTGGACTGTTCTAAACTTAGCAGAAATGTTGTCTAACACTTTTTTTAAACCTTTAATTTATGTCTTATCTTATGTGTTGGAGGAATCGTTGCATTACCAATTATAAAAAAATAGAATGGCTCATAAAATGAAGGTAAATTGCAAATTATAAGTTATCGAGATGTTGCCTTATTATATAAAACATTTCCCTGCCTAATGGGAAATAATGAAAGAGTTACTTGCCTTTTGTGTCGTGATGTTTTAGTAACTACTGTATGCTCTTATATATCATCAAGCTTAATGTAATGCTGAAGTCAAAGTCTAATTTATTTGAAAGACCATCATTCACCATGTGAATGTGTTTTGCTTTTCTGTTTATTTGTGCAGGCTGTCAGCTGTTTGGTGCTTCTCCAAGATATTTAATATCATACTCAAGGCTCTCAGATGAAAACTTATTTTCTTTAGTCTGATGAAAAGGCCCTGTTGTCCCCAGCTCTTATCGAATTTGCCTAGCTCTTTATCAGGAGCGTATGACACGGCTTAGCTCCTCTATTTATCACATAGCTTCTCTTAACAACGCCAGAGGTACAGCAATCTATTTTAGTTTGGTACAACTCATGCTCTTTGTACATAATTTTAAAGTCAAATGGAGGATTAAAAAAAAAAAAAAACGTAGAAAATTTTTCATCTTTTGGTGTGACGTAGTTTAAGTATCTGATTTTACAAGATTTCAAAGGGAATATTTAGTAAAAAAAAAACAGAACAATAGAAGTTTTAATCTTATGAGTCTTATCTTTTCTAACTTTAAAAGCTATGATTTTGAAATATGTTTCTGTTTAATATCAGACTTTAGATCTGACTCATGGGACTGCTTGGCTTCTTTGAACCAAACCAATGTACAACTGCTTCCCACCATCCGTCTCTGTTTGATGATTTAAATCTGGAATTCCTCCGCTGACTGAAAGCTGCAGTTCTCAAGATGGTTTTCTCATTACTGTTCTCATTGGGATTCTCACAATTTTCACAATCATCCACTTGATTTAACTCAGTGAATCAAATCACGTGGTCTCAGTAAAAGAGTGTTTATGATG